CCAATGGAACCAAATAAAAAGGTAAGCGTTTTGCTGCTTTCATGAAACCAGTATCGATTAAACGATGCGCTGAATGTAACAAAACCTGCCAGTTGTACTCTTCAACTAGCTGTGCGGAAGGACAGTAATTAAAACAAGTGTTGTGATAGTCCATCTCTATCAGTTAAGTTAAACAAGTTGAACACCACATCACTTGAATCGTTTCCTTCAGTAATGACTGAAAGTACAGATCAAGGGGAGATGGAACTGCCAACCACATCGCTGTATTCCAAAAATTATCAGCTTCATTGGATAAATCCAAATTCATTATTTTGCAGAAATCTCTAATTTTTCCGTCGAAAATTCATGCTTCATTTGTTAACCTATGTTGATTTCAGTTGAAATTCGAATTGAGCTTCAAACTTGCTCGTGGTAAAACAGAGGGACTGGGCAAGCCACTTGAATTCCGTGCATTTGTGAATAGTACAAGTGAAGAGAACAACCTTGACGATAATGACTGGCAGGCGGTTGTTCGCGTGATTAAACGAGCTGAACTCGATATGACCGCTGTTTCAGATCCTCCGATTGTTAGGTAATTTGATTTTTCTAACATATCTAACAGTTTTAAAACCAGATTTTCCATCGTTTAGGATTAAATATACTACGTTTAGCTTAGATCAGTTAACAAAAATTTTCACATTTTCTTATGCACCACAGTCGAGTGGTGCATTTCAGTGCGATACACTAATATGAAATGCTCAGCTTGAAATGCAACAAATTCGTTTGAAGTATTTAGCGTAGATGTTAAATGAATGCCTACAAAATAACACTAACAGGCTTAGTTGCTATTCACAGCAACTGTACACATAACTTTATGCTTTCTGCAAATAATTTTTGCAATCTGGATGAAGATTCTAGAGTCAGAAAGCAGTTTATCGTATCTTCTCACAAATCAAAATTTGAAGGTTTGGCGGTGATTTGAAAGGTGAAACCGGGATGGAATTTGATGAAGATATTGGTCCGTTAGTTGTACATAAATACACGATCACAAATCAGGGACCGTGGTCTGTTAATAACGTAACGGTTCAGGTGAACGAAATTTTTACATTTAGATTTGATGGCCGTTTTTTTTCAATTTGACTCATTTTGGCCAAGGACACAGAATTCGAGGAAAGTGTACAATTCAGGAATGTTTATTTGTTGGTGTGAGCAATTGAAATATATCACCGTGGAATTATTTTCTAGGTGGATTGGCCTTACCAAGTAGCCAGTGTGTTCTCAAAGGGCAAATGGGCGTTATATCTGATGGAAATGCCAACAATACAAACGACGAACACAGATAACGAGAACATTGTCAAACAATGTTCGATGGCATTACCCACTGAGTGGGTTAATCCACTGCAGCTGAAATTGTATTTGGATTCAGGAACGTCCTTTGATTCAGAAGCTGATTACAGTGACGCGTCTGAAGATGCCATCAGTCGCCGAGTTAAGGTATAAATCAGTATTCATCAGAAGATTCATTCGTTTATTCACTGATTGACTATTTGTGAATCCATTTCATATGGTAACAAAAAATACAGTTCTTCCATGACACGCAAACAAATTATGCGGGGAAAACTAATGATGAAATCCGAGTTATTGCATTAAGACGTTATGTGCTGACTTCATTGAATAATGCTTATATCCTTATAGAGAACACCTCAAGAAGAAAAAGCAGAAGCGAGACCATCGCGAGAGCTTCGAATTAAAACGACTAAAATCAAGGAGAAATCTGGTGAAGAAGTGGAAATCGTTCGTATCGTAAGTATTTTTTTATGATTACGTTCAGTAGCCACATTCAGAACCTTCGCGCAGTTTATTCCTTTATTTTAATGAGTGAGTAGAGATTCTAGCGTTGAACATCACAACCTTCAACATCATAACCTCCAAGCTCTGACGTTAACACCGTAATAAATGAAATTAAATTCAAATTGAAAACATTGATATCCAAGTGCTCAACCATAAGAAAGAATTCTCGCGGTAATAACGCAAAACACTTTATGATAGATCATTTGTCAAACCTGATTGAGCCGTGAAATATGCTTCTTCTGTATGAAATATGTAAGTTTTGTCTTGGTAAAGAACTGCTCAGATGAATCTCTCGCTTTGTAGAACTGTGCCGA